AACTCTTCTCAGACGACGCCCCGAACGGCAATCTCTTTGATTTGGCGGATCTGTTGGCCTTTAGAATCAATCAATTCTATCCCGAAAAGGCCTTAAATTCTATATCCACTGAAAATATCAGACAATTGGTGGAGAATTTGATTAGTATAGAGCCGAAGGAACGGAAACTAAGCTCACAAATACTCGCAGAAATGAGTGATTCTGTGTTTCCCAAGTATTTCGATTTGCTTTACGATTATTTGCGACAATTAGTACGCCTTCCGCCCGACGCGAAGATCATACGACTCGCTCAAGACATGGACGGCCTGTTGGGTCCGATCCTCGAACAGGACGCACAGGGATTGCTTCTCATCTTAGTTGTCATCACATCATCAATGCGTGCACTCAAACACATTCACTGCAAAATTTTGGCTCAACGCCTGTCCTGTAAGATAGCGAAGGCCTCTCCAGTCATGTCGGCGTTCATAACAGACAGACTATTGCCTTATTTGTTGCATTCGCTCAATGAGACCGACCCCAGAGTGAGGGCCGAAACAATCATTTCAATCACCTATAGTTTAGAACAAGTGACTAAATTACCCGCAAGTGATAATAATGTCTTCACGGACTATATTCTTCCAGTTTTGGTAAGTTTTAGTTACTTTTTTGGATACAATCTAACGATTTAATGGCATCTATTTGTCGCAATACAGTGTCAGGTGGTGTCGGACCGGTCAGTGTTCGTAAGGCTCACATTAGCGGCAAACATAAGCCGTTTATCAAAAGTTGCGCTCAATTTCTTGGGTCAATCGTGTGATCAGAACTACGACGAAGAGCTGTCTCTGCTTCACGACTCATTCCAGTTGATTGTCTCACAACTGCTCACCGATTCAAACAATTGTGTCCGACGGACACTACTGTTGACGCCCCACAGCTGTGCCAACCTTTGCGTCTTCTTTGGCAGACAAAAGACTAATGAAGTGATTCTCAGTCATATCATTACGTTTCTCAACGATAAGGTATTGAATTGCTTTTGAATGTAAATGAATGGCCACTTCTAATCGGGTATTGATTGTCATTTCCCACAGAATGACTTCCAATTGCGCGCCTCATTCTTCGACAACATAATAGTGATCGCATCATATCTGGGCTCTCAGTGCTCCACAATTCTTCAGCCACTCCTTCAACAGGGATTATCCGACGCCGAAGAGACCATTGTTTACAAGACCATCACATCTCTCGCGTCACTTATAGAACAGGGTTTGCAATGGAATTTTTTCTAATAGTTTACTTAATAATTGACATTAATTTTGTTGTTTCAAAGGATTACTCAAAAAGAGCATAATCTATGAGTTGGTCAGAGAAGCGTTCCCACTGTTGGCTCATCCGAACCAATGGATTAATAACGCGTTGATTGCATTGGTTCTAACCCTATCATCACGTCTTTCGTTGGCTGACATCAACTGCAAAATTAAGCCATTAATCGATCCAAATCTTCAGCGAAATATCCATTCATTCAAGAACGCAGATCTGCTGAAGGATTCATTTCACCCATCGATTCCCAGAAGTATTCACGAATTGATACTGAATTCGAAGCTAAATATCGACAAATTATTTGAGTGTTTGGCGCAGAGGAAGGCGTTGCGAACGATTCCACGCCATCACCAGTCGGCCATTGTCTTTGAAGACGCCCTTTACTTACGACTCACTCACGAGGGTATGACCGATACGATTGAAGACCAATTGGTGGCGCTCTCGGACTTAATTAGAAAGATTAGCAAAAATAAGAAGAATTTGGTGCCCAAGAAGTTGTCGGGAGGCATAGCTATCAGCAAACGAAACACTAATCGCAGGTTCTTTAGCGTCACTCTTCGTAATGCGGGTAATGAGAGGCCGACCCATAAGAAGCAGACCTCCACTATGAACGAGGAATGGCTTCACATGTTTGGCTCAAACGCCAAATTTGTCACTTCCAACGACGACGACGCCGAGAATGTGATACCTGTGGCACACGAGGCCCGCGAATACGATCAGTCGCACATCCAGTGCCCGCCCTGTCATCAGGCGGTCAACGATCTGATCCAACATAAGAGAAGTCATTCAAATCCATTGGCGACAATCAAGTGGCCGAAAGTGACTCCATTCAAGCCAAAGGGTGTATTAGTGGCACATCTTCACGAACACGAGTCCGCTGTTAAACAGGTGTTAAAAGTGTCGGATTCCTCGCTATTCGCCACCTGTTCCACAGACGGAACCGTCAAAGTGTGGGATTCGGCCAAAATCGAGGGCAAGAATGTGGTGAACCGATCGAGATTCAACTTCATCTCCCAATCATCACTTAATCCACAAGCGATGGGAGGAATGACTTATTGCAAGGACTGTATTATTGTCTTCACAGACACTAATTTGGTTCACATTCTGGAGATTATATCGAGTTCTTTGAAAATGAAATTAGTGACCACTTTTCAGGTCTTCCCTGACATCGAGGGCTCAATCATTACAGATATAACCTCTTTGAACGAAAACACATTCGCTATATCTCTGTCCGACTCATCAATACTAGCGTATGATATCAGGACTCTTAAGACGGACCAAACGAAACCCATTTGGAAGATGAATATAGAAGCGCACGAAAGACTCATCACTTCCATCGATGGCAACGATTATGTACTCTTTTGCGGCACAACTCGTGGACTATTGATTACATTTGACTTAAGATTTTTATTGCGTTCAAACAC